CACACACACACACACACACACACACACACACACACACACACAACCCTAACAAATGCCAGCACTGGTTTTATTATGTAGGTGGTTAAACAGTCCCTTTCTCATCAATGTTCTGAAACCTATGGAGACTCTAGCCTTTTATTAATTACAAAGTTGAAAAGGAGGTGCTGCTTCATTCTCTGACAACGGTCAGAGGCATTGGGTTTGCTGCTTGGGCCTCAAAGGTTCCAGAACCTCAGAAGCAGGGTGTTGGAACGGAAGGCAAGCCAGGACACACAACATGTCTTTCTCCAGTCTTAGGGTTTTTGGGTGGGTGCCAGTTCTGCTTCACTAGCCAGGTCTTCTTTGCTTGCCAAGAACACCACGCTTCGGTGCTTGAATGATTCTCCAAGTGCGGTCCAAGAAGTCCCCAACATCAGAACCATCTGCTGAGAATGCAGACTTCTGGGGCCAGACCCATAGGAGCTCACTGTCTGTAGGTAAGGCAGGGCTCTTCACCCACTGCATTTGGACAGCTACTAGATCAGGGACTATGGCTTGACAAGGATAAACTTTAAATGCACACTCATTTTGAGGCAGGCTATCAACATGTAGCGCCAGCTGGTCTTGAACTCACCATTCTCATGCCTCAAAATGCCCAAGGGCTGGGATTAGATACATGACTCCACACCTGTCAAATGCACCTTCTGAAATACTTCACTATAGATTTTTGATGCTATCTCAGGACCAGCAAACGAAAGCCCATAACTGAAATTCAGCTCCCACTTGTTTCTGTAAATAGGTGTTTTCTGGGACATGACCACTGTCTCTCATTTTGCCTGTGTTTCAAAAGTCAATCTGAGTAGTCACCATGGAGACCATGTTTGAGTCCATTTTCTGTTGGTAAGAACAAGAGACTACACACTGGAGAAAGAGTGTCCACAGTTCTAGTGCAAGGTCAAGGATTTCCTCTGCTAATGGCCTTCTTGCTGCCAGAGTCCTGAGATGACTTTGGGGCATCATATGACAACAGATAAGAAATGTGATAACCCTTTCGATGTTGCACCTTTAAACACCATAGTCAGATAAAAACGTCCATCCTATCACTACTTTAAGGCATTGATTTTTGGAAGGGACAAACCAAGTTCAACAAGACAAGCTTTCAATGGCTGCAACATCTAAAATATTACTATCTCACTTTGATAGAAATAGTTTGCTCACCTCTGATGTGTGGCAATGGTTTTCAATCATGTCTGTGCATCCAGATCACCAAGGAGTCTTGATTTGCTTAGTAAATGCTGTTTTCCCAGCCCCATTCCCAGAGAATCTGAATCAGTTGGCCTGTGGGTGTTTTGGGACAGAGGCATCTTTGGGAAGGCCACCCAAGTGAGTGGAACTACCCATCTAGGATATGGACCACTGCTGTGAGGAGATTGCCCTAGCCTAGTACCAAAGGGAAATGCCCTTCCTGAAAATCTCACCTCTCCACACTGAGCTTCTTGGGAAGCCCTTATCATTTATAAAGCAGTTGTTTATCTGTATGACAGACAGATCAATACATATTGTTGTGGGAAGTAAGAATTGAAATAATGCAAGCCTGCTTCCCACAATAGGTCTTAGTATACAGAAAGCACTGACAACTGATGTAAGTACAATGGGCAACAGTATGCTTGGCTCCAATAATACAATTGAGTAGACATTCATTAAGCACCAGCTGTGTGCTCTGGAAGGGGACATGAAATAAATAGGATATGATTGCCTCCTCAAAGGAACTCTTAGCCCAGTGAGACAAATAGCATAAAAAATATATTGATAGCAATAAGAGAGAAAATGCTTCCCTATAAGATGGTCAGACATGTTGAAGAAGAGGAGAATATGATTCTTATAAACATATATAAGCCTGTTCAATGTCAGTAGTAATCAGAGACAGAGAAAATAAAATTCCAATGACACATTTTCTTCCGGTATAAGTAGGCAAACTTTAACACTGCTGAGAATACACAGCTTCCAAGGAAGTGCAATTTCACAGACCTTCCAGAGGGTGAATTGTTACTCTAAAATCTACACACTTTTCAAATGCTCTGCTTCTTGTTTAGGTATCCAGTCTACAGGAGAAGCATGTGGGAAGACCCTCCCTACAAGAACAAGCAGTGTGACAATGACTATAGCACGGAGAATCACCCAAATGCGCATGGCACTGGAGAGGGGGAACTGAATCACCTTGCAATTCCATGCAAGTCATGCTCAAGATTTTTTTGTTTTTGTTGTTTTTTTAAATGAGGACTCTATGCAGGTATAAAATAAACAGTTACCCATAGTGTCTCACGATGAAGTTAAAAACTATAAAGAAACACAGCAACACATATGTAATAAAGCACATTGACGCTCACAAAAAAGCTTAACATTTTTATTTCCTGTGTGTGCATTCCTTCTGAGACAGAATTACCTCTGGGAAGAAAAGAGCAGGATAAAGATCTCTTACTTCACCTGTATTTTTTATATTTAAGAGTATGAATGTATTCACAAACTTCTCATGCACATTTTTCAAAGAAAAGCATCTCCAAGTCAACAATATAATATGGTGACCATCCTTACAGAACCGTCTGCAAATTGTCATGGCAGAAACAAAGAGGGTACAGAATTCTGGAGTGGGATGGAGAAAAAAGGGATGTCACAAAGCTAATGAAGCATTGAGCTAGACCTTGAAGGAGATTCTCCTAGACTGGAGAAGATGATTACATCATTATACATAGACAGTGCCTTAAGCAGAGGCTTACAGGCATGAACATGTTTTATGTATCCATCAATTTCCACAAGCATATATGGAGTACCTACCCTGAACTCAGGACTGCTATTAATGTTTTCAGGACAGAAACAGGTCCAGTGTAGGTTCAAATGCCGGAGCTATAGGTTCATGTGTTCAAGCTGTGAACATCCATGCAATGATGCTATATACTCATGTGATGGGGCTCCAAGGGGAACATCCCAACAAGGTCTCTGCCTTCATGGTGACTCCTTCCCAGTCTATTTAGATGGACAATCTATGAATGAAGTGAAGTAGTCATTGTGATGATAAGGGTTGCTGGGGAGAATATAACAGGAAAAGGAAGTACAAAATCAAGGAAGATGGGTTTCCCCTGTCATACTGAGGTCATCTGAGCTGCCAGAGAAGGCTTCACTGGTGGAAAGCCAAAGAAACTTCAATAACTAACCACAGGGACCATTCGGGGAAGGACAGCCCAGGCATGAAACTTTGTTTGAAGTACAAATGAAACTTCAGGGAAAAAAAAGGAAAGAAAGAAAGAAAGTGGAAAAGCAAATCAAACCAATCCCCCCCCCAAAAAAAACCCAAAAAAACAAAAACCAAGACAAATGGACAAAAGAGCCCCCAAGAGACTGGCTATGGATGGGCAAATGAGCTTGTGTTCAAACAAAACTCTAAGCCAAGGCTGAATCCCAGGTTAAATCCCATTCGATTGGAGAAGAAATTATAGGCCAGATGGTTTTTGAGCTGAAAGAGGCCAGTGGAGGTTCAAGATGGCCAAACCATGGCAAACTCCTGTTCGATGGAGCCCTCTTCACACTTGGCTAGCTTCACAAGCTGGGATACTATAGCAGCAGGGGCTGTATTAGGGATTTGCTTCTCCAGTTAGCTTGACCTTAGTGGAGCTTTAATAAACTTAGTAAAAATATCCTGTGACCAGATTGGTGCCTAGCCCAATTTTCATCAGAGAGGTGTCATCCAGCAACTGATGGAAACAGATGCAGACCCACAGCCAAACATTAGGCAGAGCTCAGGGAATCCTGCAGAGGAGAGGGAGAAAGGATTATAGGAGGTGAGGGGTCAGGGACACCACAAGAAAACTCACAGAATCAACTAACCTGGGCTCATAGGGGCTCACAGAGACTGAACTGACAACCAGGGAGCCTGCATGGGACTGACCTAGGCACTATGCTTATATGTTACAGTTGTGTAGCTTGGTCCTCTTGTGGGACTCCTCATAGCAGGAACAGGGTCTGTCTCCATCTCTTCTACTGGCTTTTGGGACAATACTCCTCATACTGGGTCGCCTTGCCCAAATTAATATATGGGGAGGTGCTTAGTCTTACTGCAACTTGATATGCCATGTTTTGTTGATACTCATAGGAGACCTGCCCTTTCCTAAACAGAAATGGAGAAGTGGACTGGGGGGAGGGGGGCTGAGTGGGGTTAGGGAGAACTGGGAACTGAGGAGGGAGGGGAAGCTGTGGGTGGGATATAAAATAAATAAATTTATTTAAAACAGGTTCTGACTCCACATAGTTGTAGTTTACCTGTAATATCTACCCAGCCTCCCAGGATCTCAGACCACCCATTTTCCATTCACTCTGTTTCTCTCTCTCCTTTGAGAAGGAGCCCTTACGGTAGAGCACATCAATTTCCCCTGTGTTCACAACATTTCTGTGTTAAGTTTTCCTCCAGTGCAGTCTACATGCTGTCACTGGGACCTAACTGTTTCCAGATCCATGGTTTTGTCTTTTTCATAGGAGCAAGCGTATAGCAATGGGTGGGTTTAAACATGTTCCAACAAAGACAGAAATATAGCAGGATAATGGGTTCAGCTGCATACTGGGGAGGAGATCCCTTTGGTGCAGTATAAGGAAGAGATGACACAAGAAGAGATCAGCTGGGGACTAGGTGGGAAAATAAACTGAAGGTCCCATTAAGGACATTAGCAGGAGGGAGAGAAGCAGATAGATTCAAATGACTTAAAGTGAAAATCACCTGTTGTTAATGAATTTGATAAAGGAGACTAAAGCAAAAGGAAGTACAGACATAATGCCAAAGCTCATGTTGTGGGTAACTGAGTGGATAATGGTAACTTCACCAGCAGAAGCAACTCCAACAGATAACTAACTATTCAGAAAGGAGTTTTTAAAAACATAGTTTCAGTCTGGAAGGCAGAATGAGGAGATGGTTGTCTGGATAACTACAGAGCTCCAGAAGGTGTCTGGCTAGTGATATTGATTGGTTAGCCTACTTACAGGTAATATGTAAAGAAAAATGCGCATAATATCAGTGGGAGAAGAATAAAAAGCCAGAGAAAAAGTCAATAATCGCCATTTCTCCGCTTGACAACTGTCTTCTATTTAAAGTTGTGGTGTTGAGTTTCTTCCATCTCAAAATGCCCCCAATCATGTTCTGTTCCTTTTTAATCCTAATTTCACCCCTGCTAGCTCACCTCTGGAGAGCGTATTCTCAGTTTGTCAGACATTTTTCATAGAGAAAAATATATCAATATTTCACACAGGTAGTCAAAGAAATACCAGTAAATATTGGGACTAATTTCATCTGCTTTCTAATGTCTTTTGATATGGAAACAGCAGGCATGTGAAATCCAAAACCGTGTGCTCTATACTGGTGGTACTCTTCATTCACTACCACCTCATGGAAGCGCACCCCTAAGGAGGATTTCCCACTAGGACAGAAATGGAGGGACATGATTATTTTGTACTCATGGGTACAGGACAGAGAACAACCTAGAAGCCATGCAGGATGGGGACAAGGTGAGGTTCATCCAGATGTGGACAAGGAGAAGAGAAATCCAGCATATCTGCTGTGACCTCCAGATATGAGCAGCATCTGATTTCTGCCCTGTGTGTTCTCAGGCCAGAATAGGCTAGATACGCAGCTGAGCCAAGCAATTGTGCTGCCAGGCTCCATGCAGGGTGGTGAGTGTGTGGACAGTGGTCAGCTTTGCCTTGTAGATGCAAGTGATGGCATTCAGGCACCAGTGTGTACATTTCCATTGAATATCTTGTTACTGGACTTTTGTATTTACTCTTAATCCTGAAGTCATGATGTACACAGTCTGCCTCCAGCCCAGCTTTCTCTGGCTCTTCCTTTGTCCCAGCAATGTACAGAAGCCAGAGCCAAACAATGGGAACTGGAAAAATATTTGCTATATCATTCTTGGGTATACAGTAGGAGGAGTCAAAGCCAGCATTCAATAAAGGTTTCTGCACACCAATTTTTATAGCAGCAAAACTCGTAACAGCCCATTTATGGAATCAGCCTAGGAGCCTATCAATGGAAGGAAAGATTAAGAAGTTGTGCTGTGTATTCATAGTGCAGTACTTTAAAACATACATAAGAACAAAACCATGTGTGGAATGTTAAGCCAAAAAAGCCAGACATAGAGCAATGAGCACTGCATGCTTTTTCTCATATGTAGACTCTAGACATTATTATTTTGTACAAATGATATATGCTACTTTAAAGCTTCATTTTATTTTTCTTTTATTTATGTGTGTGTTTGTGCCATATATGTTACCAGTACCCTCAGAGGCCTGAAGAGGGCATCAAACCCCCTAGACCTGAAGTTACAGGTGGCTAGGAGCCACTCAACTTGGTCCTTGGCCAGAACAGCAAATGCTCTTAGCTACTGAGCCATTTCTCCAGCCCCAACATGTGCTCATTTAAAGAAGTTATTGAAAATGGGAAGGCAGAGGTAAGTGAGTCTCTCATTTATTATTTTATTAGTTGATTTTCTTAGGATGCCCTAAACATGAAACAGAACCCAGAACTCTAGACTCTGAGAGATGGAAACTAGGAGATTATTTGCTATGAAGTATGCCCTCACCAGCATTTTTCTTCTTATGAACAACATTTGTTCAATTATTTAGTGTGTGTGTGTGTGTGTGTGTGTGTGTGTGTGTGTGTGTGTGTACAAATGTACATAGAATCCAGAAGAGGTGTCAGGTGTCCTCTATAGACTTTGCCTATTCCTTTGTGGCAAGGTCTCTTCCCGAACCTGGAGCTCATGAATCTCAGATAGGCAGGAATCCAGCAAGCCAAGGGATGTTTCTGTCTTGTTAACTCAGAGCTACTGTTGCAGGTGTTTGTGGGCACCCTAGGCTGTTATAGTGGAGTCGGGATCTGAAATCAGGTTCTTATGATGGCAAAGAAAGGACTCAGCCAGGCCATCTCTCCACTCCATTCTCCTTCCCCAACCCACATCGCTCACATAATTCTCATTGCATGCTGTCTTTACTACATGGTAAGAATCTCTGTCTAGAGGTGAGGGAGTGGAGGCTTAAAAATCCTAGGAGGATTTTCCAGGGTATAAACAACTGAGCATGAATTAAAGCCCAGGTCTGTGTCCCCTTCCATCCATGGGAATTTTCCATTTAAAATTCAATGTTGCAGCTACTTTGTAAGGCCCTAATG